AAAATTTATAAAGAACTCATACAACTCAACATCAGAAAAACAAACAATCCTCTTAAAAAATGGGCAGAGGACCTGAATAGACACTGCTTCAGAGAGGACATACAGGTGTTTACTAGACATATGAAAAGATGCTCAATGTCATAAATTATCAGAGAATGTAAATTAAAAATAATGAATGTTACATCTGTCAGAATGGCTGTCATCGATAAATCCACAAACAAGTGTTGGGGAGGATGTTGAGAAAAGGGAATGCCCTCGTACAATGTTTGAATGCAAATCAGTGCAGCCCCTATGGAAAACTGTGGAGCTTCCTAAAAAAATGAAAAATAGAACTAAGTTATGACCCAGCAACTCCATTTCTGGTATATATCCAAAGAAACCCAAAATATTCATTTGAAAAGATATATGCACCTCTATGTTCATTGCAGCATTATTTACAATAGCCAAGATATGGAAGCAACCCAGCTATCCATGAGTAGACAAGTGGGTGAAGAAGAAGTGGTTAGATATATACAATGGAGTATTACTGGGCCATAAAAAAGAATGAAATATTACCATTTGCAACAACATGGATGGATCTAGAGGGTATTATGCTACATGAAATAAGTCCAACAGAGGAAAACAAATGTCAGGTAAAGAATCTAAAGAAAAAATAAAATAGAAACAGACTCATGGATGCATTGAACAAACTTATGGTTGCCAGATGGTGGGAGGTAGGCGCCGGGGTTGGAGGGCTTGGTGAAAAAGGTAAAAGGATTAAGAGGTCTGAATAAATTGGTAGTTACAAAATAGTCATGGGGATGTAAAGTGTAGCATAGGGAACATAGTCAATAATATTGTAATTAACTATGTATGGTGCCAGGTGATTACTGGAATTATCAGGGGATCACTTTGTAAATTATATAATTGTCTAACCATTATGCTGTACACCTGAAACTAATCTATATAATAAAAGGCTAAGCGACCGTTTCGGTGGAATGACCAGAACAACCGGTCACTATGATGCGCACTGACCACCAGGGGGCAGATGCTCAATGCAGGAGCTGCCCCCTGTTGGTCAGTGTGCTCCCACAGGAGGAGTGCCACTCAGCCAGAAGCCGGGCTCATGCCTGGCAAGCGCAGCTGCCACACTGTTGGGAGCCTCTCCCAACTCTGCAGCAGCACTACTGAGTGGTGAAAGCAGGTGCAGTGGGCTGTGATGAGTGTGCAAGTGACATGGCACCTGGCCCCGATTTGGGCTCCTCCCTGGCCACCTGCCGCTGGCGCACTGCTACATCCCCTGAGGGGTCCCGGACTGCCAGAGGGATGTCCGATTGACGGCTTAGGCCCAATCCTGGTGCCATTCTCTGTAGAAGGCAGTCAGTCTGAACAACTCAGTGACTCAGGGAACTCAGGGTGAGCCTGCCTCCGCGCTTGAGTCACCCACTCGATGGTGTTCGCAGGACAGACCATGGTGGCCCAGCCTGTGCACATGCAGCAGCTGCTGAAGCTCAAGCAGCAGGCTGTGCAGCAGCAGAAGGCCATCCAGCCACAAGCCGGCAGTCAGACATTCCCCTAGGGGTCCTAGACTGTGAGAGGGCACAGGCCAGGCTGAGGGACCCGCCCCCTGCCCCCCCAGTGCATGAATTTCATGCACCAGGCCTCTAGTATAAAATAATGTTGAATGTCAACTGTAATTGAAAAACAAAATTTTTAAAAGATTATTAACTATGATTTTTAAAGCTATTTTGATCTTTGGCATAACAAGCATCTTTTAATTTTATTTTAAGTTGAAAAATCTGAGTAATTTAAGAGTTTGTGTTAATAAGGATATCTTGAATTACAATGACAAGAAATGCACTGTCTAACATTAGTTAAAATGGTTATTTTAGGCTCTGCTTTGCTGATTTTACCAACATAAATATTTATCAGCTTGTTAATATCATAAAAATATTTATTTTGCCTTTTTATTCGTTGCTCCCCAGAAATATTTTTTGTATGATTTTTTATGGTGTTTTAGGATGCAACATTACCAAAGTCCTCATTGCCAACAGAGGAGAAATCGCCTGCAGGGTGATGCGAACAGCTAAAAAAATGGGTATACAGTCCGTGGCTGTTTACAGTGAGGCTGACAGGAACTCCATGCATGTGGATATGGTATGTTGCTAAAAACTGGAAATCAGATTTTGTAAGTGATCATATTTGTTAGTGTGTCAGTGTTTTAGTTCTTGACAGTTTGTATTTGCTAGTGTTAACAGTGTGCAGTAGGTAAGTTCAGCTGCTCACTAATAATTCCTTTTGGGGACATTTTCCAAATAAGTCACCAGTGGAACTAAACAGAATACTCTGTGATGTAGTTGATTTACAGGCCAGGTCCTGTCAATAGGATTGGTTAAAGCAGTTCACAGAAGGTGGCTGATGCACAGATCACACTTTAAGGGGCTCCTGTCCACATCCCTGATGTGCAAGGAAAAGGATCACGATTCTAGTTTTAGCAACTACTACTTACTGGCCAAGGGTCTTAGACAAGTCACTCAGTGTTTCAGAGACTTGGCTTAACTGGAAAATTATAACTACAGGGACCTTCCTCCCCCAAGGTTTGTAAGTGTTAGCAATTATAACTAGCTTTATCCCTTAGACAGAACCCAGGCCTGGGTGAATTCAGCTGTCGTCCTTCGTTACGTCCACAGCAAATCCCCAAGCACTGACAAGTCCACCGTGATGAGTTTTGCTTGGCCTTCCAGCTTTACGTAGTAGGCCCATGCAGCTTTCTAGCCACTGTTCTGTCTCATATTGTGAATGCCTGTTGCCACTTTCATTTTACTTTAGTGTGTGACATATATTATACATAAAAATCAAGTTTTGACATTCTCCTAATGCAAAAGATTTCAAAATGGATTATTTTTTAATATATTTTTATTGATTTCAGAGAAAGGAAGGGAAAGGGAGAGAGAAATAGAAACATCAATGATGAGAGAGAATCACTGATCGGCTGCCTCCTGCACACCCCCGACTGGGGATTGAGCCCACAACCTGGGCATGTGCCCTGACCAGGAATCGAACCATGACCTCCTGGTTCATAGGTCGATGCTCAACCACTGAGCCACACCGTCTGGGCCACAGTGGCTTATTTTTAATAGCATAGCTATGAGCTGGTACTTTTGTATTATTCTTGGGGAGCCAGCATTTCTATGTTTCTATTTCTATTTCTGCCTCTATTTCTATGTCCCTGAAGCAGTCCTATGTAGAGTACTAGGTCTGTGGTTTTCTAAACATATGCCATTTGTTAAACAGGCAGATGAAGCGCATTTCATTGGTCCTGCTCCCTCTCAGCAGAGCTACCTATCGATGGAGAAAATCATTCAAGTGGCCAAGATCTCTGCTGCACAGGTGAGGGTGATGAAGAGATATACAATACAAAAGTAAACGTGTTGCCCAATTTTCACAAAATTACTTATTATTTAGAGAATACATTTTCTATTTTTAGCCATTCCCAGTTTCTATCTTTCCTGTTAAAAACATTAATATGGAATGAACAAACCAAACAGGCTTGCAATTTTGTGAACCAACAGGGTGAATTGGCAGCTAAATATATGCCTGATGGGTAGGGAAAGTGCCCACTGGTGGTAGTAGTATTGCTAGTTTTTCTTTTTTAATCCATTCAGATGCCCAAGAATACTGTGGTTTGGATATAGTAAGCTATTCTTCTTAAGAGAAATTAAACTTCTTGAGGTCACTCCCAGAACGTGTGATTGAACTCGATATATTCACAAGTAGATAGCTGCTTTTCTTTTTAGTTTGAAGGGAGAGTATTTATCTAGCTCATCACACTTCTATCAATTTAATATCTGTTCAAAAGAAGGGAAGCTAGCAACACTTTGAAAATGAAATTAAGGAAACAGTTACAGTCAGAAATGGTATCATCAAAATCAAATAGTAACAAAGTTAGCAAAAGTAGTTCAAGACCAGAGTATTGAAGACTAAAACATTGCTGAGCAAAATTAAATGAGTCCTAAATAAGTAGGTAGATAAATCATTGGAAGACTCAATATTTGTTAAGATGTCAATTCTTTCCAAATTGACTGATAGATTCAATTCACTCTATATCAAAATCCCAACAGGCTACTTTATAGAAATTGACAAGCCTGTTCCTCAAATAGCTAAAGGCCTAGTATATAGTTAAAACAAGTTTGAAAAGACTAACAAATGTGTAGGGCATTTAACGAGGAATGCGGCCTGCCGGCCGCAAGTTTGACATGTTTGGTATAGGATTTAGACCCTCTATTTCAAAACTCATTATAAAACTACAGTAACCAACAGTGTGTTAACAGAAGGATAAATATACAGGTTAGTGGAACAGAATAGAAAGTTGCACATTTATGGTTAATTAATTTTTGAATAAAGGTAAAGTAATATAATAGGGGAAAGGTGGTTTTTTCAACAAATGGTGCTGGAACAATTGGCTATCTATATGCAAAAAGATGAACCTAAAGTCTAGTTCCTACACTCTTACCTTACACTTTTCATGAAAAACAAAAATAACTTGAAATGTAGCATATACCTAAATGAAAGACCTACAACTATAAAATTTCTGGAAGAGAACATAAGAGAAAATCTTGGAGAGGGTTCCAGTGGTTCTCAACCTTCCTAATGCCGCAACCCTTTACAGTTCCTCATGTTGTGGTGACCCCCAACCATAAAATTATTTTCGTTGCTACTTCATAACTGTAATGTTGCTACTGTTATGAATCGTAATGTAAATATCTGATATGCAGGACGGTCTTAGGCGACCCCTGTGAAAGGGTCGTTTGACCCCCAAAGGGGTCGCAACCCACAGGTTGAGAACCACTGTGTTAGGCAATAATTTCTTCAATATAATATCATAAGCAAGATTCATAAAAGGAAAAATTTATAAATAAACTTCACCAAAATTTAAAACTTTTGCTCTTCAAAAGAAACCATTAAGAACTTAAAAAATCAACCGTGGACTAGGAGAAAATATATGCATAACATATATTTGATAAAGAGTGGTATCCAGAGTTTTTGAGGAACACTTTACAACTCAAACAACCCAACTGAAGAAAATGGGCAAAGATTTGAATAGACACATCACCAAAGAAGATACACAAATGGCCAATAAGCCCAATAAAAGATACTCAATATCATTAGTCATTAGGGAAATTGACATTAAAACCACAGTTCTATCCCATTTCACACTCATTAGGATGTTATAAATATAAAAGACAGATAATCAGTTTTGGCAGGAATTTGGAGAAACTTGGAACCATCAGCTATTGCTGGTAGAAATGCAAAATAGGACAACTTCTTTAGAAAACTTAAAAATTTAAACATATACTTACCATATTTTGGCCCAACAGTTGCCCTCCTGAGCATTTATCCAAGAGAAACGAAAAATAGGCTTGTATGAATGTTCATAACAGCATTATTCATAATGGCCCCAAACTGGAAAAAAAATCTAAATGAAATCATGAACTAAATGTAGCATATCATAGTGGAATCAATTCTGTAAAAAGAAATAAACTACCGATGCAGACAATTAACAAGGATGAACCTCAAAAAATTACGCTAAGTGCCATGGCCAGTTTGACTCAGTGGCTAGAGCGTCGGCCTGCAGACTGAAGGGTCCTGGGTTCGATTCCAGTCAAGGGCACATGCCCGGGTTGCGGGCTTGATCCCCAATAGGGGGTGTGCAGGAGGCAGCTGATCAATGATTCTCTCTCATCATTGATGTTTCTCTCTCTTCCTCTCTTTTCCTCTCTGAAATCAATAAAAAAATATATTTAAAATGTTTCCCTCCCCCCCAAATTACACCAAGTTAAAGAAGTCAGACACATAAGACTATGTGTACTGTATGATTACATATCTAGGAAATTTCTTTTAAAAAAAAGTGAAACTATAGAGACAGCAGGTCAGTAAGTTGCTTGGTTCTAGAAGTAAGAATTAATTAGGTATGCACATGGGCACACAGGAACTTTTTTGAGTGAAAGAAGTGTTCTAAAACTGGATTGTAGTAATAGTTGCACAATTGTATAAATTTACTACATTCATGAAACTATAAATGGGTGAATGTTATATATGTAAATCATACCTAAAAAAGAAAAAGCTGTTTATAAACCAGGGAGGACGGAGTGTAGATCTTTTTCAGTGTGCCTAGCATAAGTAACATTTGACCATTTCATAGGAAATGTCTGAAATTGAGCATTGGTTTGAAAGAAACAAAATTCCAAACTGACATCAAAATGTGACGTGTCGCATTTTATTCAGTATTTAGCATTTTGTTGTTTGCCATCAGTAAGATAGGGGTTTTTCTATTCACATGAGTTTCCCAGACATTGGAAGCTAACTGCTTTAATGTTGAAATGTCCTTTAAGCGCAACTATTTTGAAATAGGGTTGGCAGAGCTTTCTTTTAATATTCAGTTGGTTATAATTATTATTTTAGAAGAGCAAATGTCCTGAGGGCTACTGAAGTGGGAGACCGAGTTGCTTCATCCCTCACTAAACAATCTGAGCTGCAACTGTTTGCTTCCCTGTCTTCCCTCTTTGCTGTTGGCATGTTTGCCCTAAGAAAACACACTGTTCTTGGGTCACCGATTGTCCCCTTTGGTGAGCGAGAAAGCCAGATACATAAATTTGTTAAAACTCTGAGGAACTTGCAAGTAACTAGGCAAAAGTCTGAGGTAGTCCTCTTTCACTAAAGTATATACAGGCTTTATTTAGCATATGACTTTTTGTTTGCTTCTTAGTTATCTTTTTAGAGAGGTGACATGGGCACATAGTAACCTGAAGATAGATGGGGTGTGATTGTGGTAGTGTGTTCGTCTCAGCTTGTGGGTTCCACAGTTTCAGTTCTAAGCCAGCTCTATATGAAGGCAGAGTCAAGAAATCCCCATTACCTTTACTCCTATTTATCCTCCTTGACATTCTACCCTAAAAGCAGTATTATTATAAATTAAAATACAGATTCCTCTGATCCATCCATTCCACTTGTAGATTTATACTTATAAGAACTTAAAGCAGGGACTCAGAGAGATATGGGCACATCAATGTGTATAGCAGCTTTATTCATAATAGCCAGAAGGTGGAAACAATCCTCATCCATCAACAGGTGAGTGGTAAACAAAGTGTCGAATATATACATACAGGGACTATTATTCAGCCTTAAAAAAGGAATGAAATTCTGATTCATGCTACTACATGGATGAACCTGGGAAACATTCTGCTCCGTGAGATAAGCCAGACACAAAAGGGTAAGTTTGTACAATTCCACTTATATCAGGTTCCTACAATAAACAAGGTCATAGAGAGGGAAAGTGAAATTTGTGAGACGGAACATTACCAGGCAGTGGGGAGTTAGTGTTTAATGGCACAGAGTTTCTGTGTGGGGTGATGACGGCGTTCTGGAGATGGTTGGTGGTAATGGTTGCCCAGCCTGGTGCATGTGCTTAATGCCACTGAATTGTGCACGTCAACGTGGTTAAAATAGAGGTTTATCTCATGTATTTATTACCACAATAAAAAAAAATACAGATTCTTCTGGTTCAGAACTTCAGTGTGAGTGTTTCAGATGTCTGCTTGGAAACAGGCTTTGATAGCGTAGTGTAGGCATCACCAGCACAGGGAGGCCTCCCCACAGGAAAGTGATGCCGCCTGCAACCCACTTTGCCAGTGGTGTGCTGGTAAATTTGTCTTTTCATTTCTCGCTTCTAGGCTATCCATCCTGGGTACGGTTTTCTTTCAGAAAACATGGAATTTGCTGAACTATGTAAGCAAGAAGGAATTATTTTTATAGGTCCTCCCTCGTCTGCAATTAGGGACATGGGTATAAAGAGGTATGAGTGTATATTTTTTAAATAAGATCAATTGAAATGGTTTATTTTACCTATAATAGACATGCTAATAATACACTTTTGTTGTCTTAGGCATAAGTTGTTTATCTGCCACTTCAGAAAAATACTCAGCTAATTAGTATTTCTAATCAACATGCTAATTCTTTCGGGGGGATAAAAACAAGGTAGGATGAGTTACCACATGAAAAATTGGATTGAGGGAAATCAACAGATATTTTCATATTTGCATTAATATTTGTTATCTCAGACTATAGTTTTTTCTTTATCTATGGGATGTTTTCTTTGAAAAGTTCCATTATAATACAGATGATGTATTATAGAATTATACACCTGAAACCTATAAAATTTTATTAACTGATATCACCCCAATAAATTCAATAAAAAAGAAAAAGTTAAACATAAAATGAAAAGCTCCATTATATTTTGTAGACTGGTCTGTATTTGTTTCTCTTGTATGAAATTTCATAGAATTTGGGTATCTTGGGCTTTTTTATTGTAAAGTACATCCAAATCCATAATGGCTGCTGCTGGAGTGCCTGTTGTGGAAGGTTATCACGGTGAGGACCAGACAGACCAGTGCCTCAGAGAGCATGCTGGGAGGATCGGCTACCCCGTCATGATCAAAGCCGTCCGTGGTGGAGGAGGAAAAGTAAGACTGTGCGTGCTCATGTTTTCCATTTCCGGCTACTCTCCTTTGTTTTATTTATGTTGTCGTCAAATCTACCTTTCACCTTAGGGTATGAGGATCGCTAGATCGGAAAAAGAATTTCAAGAACAGTTGGAATCAGCCCGGAGGGAAGCGAAGAAGTCTTTCAATGATGACGCTATGCTGATTGAGAAGTTTGTGGACACTCCAAGGTGGGGTTAGCTTTTTTATTTTCTGACTCAGATTTTTTAAATTATAAAAAATGCACACACATTATATAAAATACAAAGTTCTAGTAGGACATAAGTACATACATTCCCCAATCCCACCCCTGATGTACCCACTATAATGTTATGGTATGCATACTTCCAGGCATTTTCTATGTGAATAGATACATTTATACATATACAAACAGAATACAACATACATACAGAACAGTGAATCAAGTCTTATATAATATTGCATGTTAATATTATATCAGAGATCTTTCCATGTTCGTAAATATAGATCTCATTCTTTTTGTTGACCTTAATATTGGTTCCATAATATTGAGATGTCGTTAATTCATTCAATCCATTACTTTTTGTTGTAACTTAAGGTCTTTTTAAAATAAAAAAATTCCTGTAAGAAATTATGCTATATTGTCATGGCTGGTTTTGCTCAGTGGTTAGAGTGTCGGCCTGTAGACCCAATGGTCCGGGTTCAATTCCCGGTCAAGGGCATGTACCTAGGTTGCAGGCCAGATCCTGGCCCGGTCAGGGCGTGTGCAGGAGGCAACCGATTGATGTCTCTATCACATCGATGTTTCTCTCTCCCCCCCTCCCTCCCTTCCACTCTCTCTAAAAATCAATGGGGGAAAAATATCCTTGGGTGAGGATTAACCAATGTGTTTCAAGAGCACACTAGCACAATCACACCTCATCTATCTTTAGGTTCCTATGTGCCCAAGTCACCTTTCTAAAAACAAAAACAAAAAAGAAATTAAGCTATATTTTACAGAACTCTGTAAGCATCAGTTGAGATGTTCAGAAAATGGAAATAGTTACCCAATTGAATTATAATTGTAAGTGAATGTGTTAACAAATAATACTAACAGCTCACACTTTTATTGCACTCACCATATGCTGGGTCCTAAATATTTTACATATACTAACTAATCTTGCTGTCCAAATTCTAATTCTTGCAAGAACCCCTTTAGATGGGTAGTATTCCCATTTTGCAGGTGAGGATACTGAGCAACAGAATAGTCACATCAGATAACTTGCCTGAGGTCTCCCAGCTAAGATGTGGTGGAGCTTGGATTTCAACCCAGGCAGTTTGACTCTAAAATTCACACTCTAAGCCACTGCACTAAACTGCTACTCCAGGTACCACAATAACAAATGCCGTGTAAATATCTAATTTTTATTTTCTGGAGTTTTCTTTTTATGCCTATTGCTTAAAATAAGGTACTGAGTATAAAAGCTTCCTGTTTCATAGACTTTTTGGTCATTTATATAGCTACAGATGTAGATATAGTTATCCTGTATGTCCAGTGACCTGATAAAGACCAGAGAGGGATTTACCTTGAAGGTAATGAGCTGAAGCTTCCCTTGCATGAACCTCTTCCAAGTTCCAGTACCTAATTGTGTCTTCTTTTTAAAGAGGGCCCCCAAATAGTTTTTGTTTCAGACCATACAAGCTTAGAACTGTCCCTGAACATGGCACAGTAAATTAAATTCCTTTAGAGTTTGTTAAAAAAAAAGAAAAGTCAACCTTAAAATCGGCCAGTTGATTAGGAGCACATAACATAATGCCGCCTGCTAGTGGGAAGCCAGGAAAAGACAGAGGAGAATCTAAGATAAACCAGAACTCCCTCCTACAGCATCTTTCCAGAAGAACAGGCCGACTCTCCAAGGAGCATACTCTGGAGTTAGATTGCTGTGGACACATCAGCTAGCTGCTAGCTATTTCAGTGACTGTAACTCCATGCTCCAACATTTTTTGAAGCTGTGAATTCTTTCCTTGTGAAATGTTAGCTACATATTACTTCACATTGTAATTTATTCCTCCAATAGCTGGGAAACTCCTGGGAATCAAGGACCTGCTAGTATATTTCTTTTTCATTTTCCCCTATATATTACTACCTGGCATACTACTTTCTTCATGATAGGCATCAATAATATTTCTTTAAATATAGAAGTAATGTGAATACATTACAAATTTTTGGAAAATACAGGAGTTGGAAAACAAAGTCACTTATAATCTCGTTCTCTAAGTATATTAATATTTCTATATATTTCTGTGCCATATTTTCTAGTAATAATATTTTAATATCATGATAATTGTACTGAATGTAGTATGTCATATCCTGCTAAATAGCTACCTGTGGAATTTTTTTTTAAATATATTTTATTGATTTTTTACAGAGAGGAAGGGAGAGAGATAGTGAGTTAGAAACATCTCCTACTGGGGATATGCCCGCAACCCAGGTACATGCCCTTGACCGGAATCGAACCTGGGACCTTTCAGTCCGCAGGCCGACACTCTATCCACTGAGCCAAACCGGTTTCAGCGCTACCTGTTGAATTAATGGAGTGTGAGAAAATTGTCAAGATGATGCTGGCAACTGAGAAAAGTACATACAAGATGTTTTCTAGATCTGATCAGTTACTGTGTTTATCTGAAAGGCTGGGACAGAAAATGGTCTTCAAAGTGTACTATTTGGAGGGTAATAAGAGAACCCGGATTCCGTCCTCACTTTATAGTCAATAAATAATCTATGTGAATTTAAAATGTCACTAGGAAAATAACAACTTTAGAACTTTTAGAAAATATCAAAGCATTCCTAATAGAATCCAGCTGTGTCCACCTACCAGCATCTAGCCAGACCCCCAGTGGCTGGCTGGAGCGGCTAGGACTGGTTCTGAGATGGTGCTCCAGATCCTCTACGTTATGGTAAGCAGCAGAAAAGATGAGTCAGCAAAAGGCAAAGGACACAAGTGACTTGGTGATTACAGAATCAAAACGGAAAACACAGATCCTCAGTGATCTTCCTTTGCACGTAGCCAAGTTTTGAGACCTCAGAATAAAAACTGTGTTGTGTTCTGCTCTTGGTGTGGCCCCAGCACGTTCCTTCCTGAACCTGGAGCCCCTGCTACAGTGCTGTCCTCTCTGGAACAGCTGAAAGATAAGGGAGGGTCTGGAGAAGGTAGACTTTTATCATTGTGATTTGAAAATCAGGTTGTTCAGCTTCAGCATGGGAAGAGCTTGGAAGCTGTTACATTTGAAGAGCAAGTAGAAAGCTGGACAGAATGAAAGTCAGTGACTTAGAGCCAGAAGAGAACTGAGGGCACAGGGAAGCCACCCCGAAGTCTGGGCAGGCATGTGAGTACCACGAAGCAGAGTCAGGATCCGCCTGCCGGCAGCAGAAGCCGCTGGAGCCGAGAACTTACAGGGACACTGAAATGGGAATTTTGACAAATTGCTGGAGGTTGATTGTGGATGAGCTTGATAGTGAGAAAATCCTTAAGCCCCAGTGTTAGGGTGGCCTCCCAACTTTTCATTCGTTTTATTGCCAGGAATCCCACCAAGTTCTCACAGTGAAAATCTAAGCAACATTTCTTAAAATTTGGGGTTTGGGGGTAGAAAAGTAACCTTCTGAAATAGGCCCAGAGCAGTCTATTCTCAGAAACCAAGGCCAACACTCCCAGGGAAACTGCCAGACCCCTTTCTGTCCTGGGGGAAGGGCAGCCGGCCAAGTCTAACCTCTAACCTGCCCACTGTACCTAAGGGTGAAAAGTGTGAGGAAACACTGCTGAGGCACAGGGTCAGGCCAACTGAAACTGAGATTTAATCATAAGATCATAGAGTGTTTTCCCTGCCCTACACCCTGCCATGTCACCAGGGCTCCCGTGTAATCACAGAGGGTTCCAACTGAAAGAAGTGCAGGACGCAGACTCTGTCCAGAAAGCAGTTCTTGTTGAAGCCCCAAGACAACAGGAGAAAGAAAAGTAAACCAAGGACATTGGAGGAAAGTGAAGGCTCTGGCACCGACAGCTGCTGCAAACATTAAACACAACATGCCTCCAAACTGATTAACATTAAACATTGAAGGTCTGTACCTCAGTTCCTGGTATGGGATACATCACATCTGGTTTCCTCCCTCCCTCCCTTCCTCCCTTTCTTCCTTGTTGGGGTCCAACCCCAGCAGGTTCAGGGGTCCCCAAAGGTGTGGACGGAGTCGGCGAAGAAGGAATGACACGGAGACAACCTTCAGTTGATCAGCAGCCTAGACAGGATCTCTAGCCAGGATCTGTAGCCAGGTTCTGGTCAGGATCTCCAGCCAAGTTCTGGTCAGGATCTCCAACCAAGTTCTGGTGCCATGTTCTCTCGCTAGGTTCTCCAGCTTCTTTAGCCAGGTTCTATCCAGGTTCTCCTGCCATGTTCTGTCTAGGTTCTCCAGCCAAGTTCTGTAGCCAGGTTCTGTCTGCCATGTTCTGTCTAGGTTCTCCAGCCAAGTTCTGTAGCCAGGTCCTGTCCAGGATCTTTTGCCATGTTCTCTCCCTAGGTTCTCTCTCTAGGTTCTGTCTTTAGGTTCTGTTTCTAGGTTCTGTCTTTTGTTGTCTTGTTACATCTGTATTTATGCCAGTTGATTTTAATCCTGTCAATTTCTATTCCAAAGGTTAGGGTGTTTCTTATCTCCATTCCAGGGAGTAAAGATTATGTAGCTTAAGCGTGATTGTAGTTAAAGTGATTAACTACCCGCCTGGCACTTAGTTAAGGGATTTTATTCCCTCCCTAACTTCAGGGGAAAATCCCTACCTGGGGAAACAACCTTTCTCAGAGAGGTGACCTTGGTTAAAACACATAGCGCCAAGAAGGGGAGCAAACATATTAAGAACAGTATGCCATATACGCCAGATCCCTTGAAACATATGCTGTGCAGATGTTTCTTCCCTGCAACGACTGTGTCAAGCAGCAAGGATGGACCGGCTCCCGGCACTCCCTCCTTCCTTTCCTTCCTTTCCTTTTTTGTCTATTTATTTTAATTGATTTTAAAGAGAGGAGGGGAGAAACATCCATGTGAGAGAGAAACATTGATTGGTTGCCTCCTACACACATCTTGACTAGGAATGGAACTACACCCTGGATATGTGTCCTGACCGGGAATCAAGCACACCACCTTTTGGAGTGTATTGTACAATGCTTCCACCAATTGAGCCACACCAGCCAGGGCCATCACATCTGGATTTTTTTTTTAAAAATTCCAAGCCTTAAAGGTAAAAAAAAAAAAAAAAAGCACAATTTGAAGTACAAGGCAAGTATCAGAACTAGACTGAGATGTGACACAGATTTTGGGATTATCTATGGAATTTAAAGTAAGTGGTTAATATGTTAAGTGCTCTAATGGAGCAAGTAAACATGCAAGAACAGAGGGTAATGTAAACAAAGAGATAGAAATTTAAGAAAAAATCAAATGAAAATGCTAGAAATAAAGAACATCATAACAAAGGAAGAATGCATTTGATGGACTAATCAGTAAACTAGACACAGCTGGAGAAAGAATCAGTGACCTTGAACGTATGTCAACTTCCCAAACAAATACAAAGAGAAGTGAGAATGAAAACAAACAAATACAACATAACTGAACTATCTAAGAACTGCAGAACAACTTTTAAAAGTGTAACGTGCTTATTTGAATACAAGAAGAAAGAAAGGAATGGGAGAACTATTTCAAAGTAATAATGGCCAAAGTGTTCCCCAAATTAATGACAGGCACCACACTACAGAACCAGGAAGCTCAGAGGACATCAAAGAGGATAACTGTCAGAGAAATTTTAAAATTATATTCAAACATAAGAAAACAAAGACAAATAGGACATCTTGGAAAAAACCAGAGGGGCGAAACTTCCTGTAGCACATCAGACATCTCACAGAAACCATGCAAGCAAGAATCAAGTGGAGTGGAATCTATATAAAATGTTGAAAGGAAAAAACATAAACCTAGAATTCTATATGCAATGAAATTACCCTCAGACATGCAGGAGGAATAAACATGTCCTCAGACAAAATTTGAGGGAATTTGTCACCGGTAGACTTGCCTTGCAAGTAACAATAACAGAAGTTCTTCAAAGAAAAGGAAAATGGTACAGATTAGAAACTCAGATCTAATAAAGGAAGAATATTAGACAAGGACCTCACAGTTAACAATTTGTTCAAAATAATAATAAGAAGAAGAGTGTATTTGGTGATGTTAGCTTAAGGATAAATAAAAAGAGGAGGAAAGGTCAAGAAGGCAAATCCAAAAGGAAGAAATCAACTTCTATTGTGTTGGACAGGTAGGAAGATTTCCGAATGGCCCATCCAGTGGAACTGATAAATCAAGAAAATTAATTTTCCCAAGTGGTTTAATGAAGTATTTTATGGAATGAACAGAAAGGAACAGCTCTGAGCCACTGCTAAACAGAACATTTACGAGACTTCTTGTTTTTTTTGTGTGTTTTTTTTTTAAGATTTTTTTTTTTTTTTTTAGAGAGTGAGAAAGGAAGAGGGAGAGAGAGAAACATGGATGTTCGAGTGAAGCATCAATTGGGTGCCTCCTGCACACTCCTTACGGGGACCGAGCCTGTAACCTGGGGATGTGCCCTCACTGGGAATTAATCCAGCCAACTGAGCCACATGGCCAGAACTGACTTCCTGGTTTATTTGTTTTGTTATTTTTCTTTATTGTTGACAGTATTGCAGATGTCCCTCCCTTTTCCCCCTATTGCCCCTCTTCACCGCCCCTCCCCACCCCCCACCCCCACACACCCCCCCTCCACCCCCGGGCCTTCACAGCTCTATTGTTTGTGTCCCTGGGCACACATATATGCATATAAGTTTTTTGGTTAATCTCTCCATGCCCTCCTCCCCACTTCTCTGACTTCCTGGGTTTTTTAAAAAATTTTCTTCTAGGTTTGACAGTTTTTGTTTTAACTAGTCAATGGGGAAAACATTTGCTGATCACTCGTTTCTGTGTTATGGTGGTGTATATGTGAGGTGAACTACAGTATGAACATATCACAATAAGCCTACTGAGAAGAATGCTTTCTTGTATTCACCAGATGGTCTGTGTTAGCCTTGTTTTCATAAGTGTTATGTGTGGTTACTCTTAATATGATTTCTCGTAATTTTGCTATTTTTATACTCAACATTTAAGTGCCTTTTTGTTTTTTTATGACTTAATGTTAGTATAGTCTTAAAAACTAATGAGCCATATTAATTTATTTCTTAACATTTAAATTTTCAATCTGTCATAGTTTAAAAAATCAGACTGTAAGAGTTGATTTTAAAAAAAATATCCTGATCATAAAAAAGTTTTCATTGGATTTTTGAGGATATATGAAATAAGAGTATAACTTATAATTATTAATTAGTCAGCTTTACCAGTATTTGCCTTAACAGTTTGCACTTTTTGTACCTTGTCCCACTCTGAGGTCATAAATATAGGGTGTCCCCCCAAAAATGTATACACACACTTTATATAATTATAAAGGCAGTGTTTATTTAAGTACATTTCACTTTAAAAATTGAGCTATCAGCTCTTAAAGTGTATATACATTTTTCTGGGACACCCTATAATAATCTCTTGTGTTTTCTGTCTTTTCTTATTTCCCAGTTATTTCTTTTTTTTTCTTTAATGTTCATCCAGTAAATGGAAAGTTTTTCATTGGGTGTTTATAAGGTTTACTGTAGTTCTGTTTCTAAATTCATATTCTCTGTTTTGAGGTAAAAATATCCCATCATGTGTAAAATAAAAATAGAGGAATCCTGGTCACCTTGGACAATAGTCTGGCTTGTGGAATGTGATATTTTTTATCCTTAGGAAAGTATGTTAACGTGAGTGTTTGCTTTTAAATAGGCATGTAGAAGTCCAGGTGTTTGGTGATCACCATGGCAATGCTGTGTACTTGTTTGAGAGAGACTGTAGTGTCCAGAGGAGGCATCAGAAGATCATTGAGGAAGCCCCAGGGGTAAGGACCTTGTAAAGAAAATTGTAATCTTCTCTGTAATGGAAACACTAGTCACTCTGATTTTCATATCAGAAATCTGTGAAGCTAGTGTCTCCCCCAAAGTCCTGCTGGACAGCTGCTTCTAAGTAGTAGTATAAGGGATAAGGCCCCCTCTCTCCACCCTTCCCCCCCACCCCCCCCGGGATGGAGCCTGCAACCCAGGCATGTGCCCTGACCAGGAATCAAACCAGTGACCTCTTGGTTCATGGGTCGATGCTCAACCACTGAGCCACACCATCCGGGCGTGGTTTTACTTATTTTTGGATTTACATTTCTTTACAGCCTGCTACTGCCACGGGCTTCTTTTCTTGTTCAGGGTTATATACAGTAGTCCCCCCTTATCTAGAGCTTCAGTTACCCATGGTCAATTGTGGTTTGAAAATATTGTCAGAAATTCCAAAACTATAATAAAATTCCTGAAAATTTATAAGTTTTAAATTGTACACCATTCTGCGTAGTGTGATGAAATCTTATGCCATCCCACCCGGGATGTGAATCACCCCTTTGTCCAGTGTATCCACGTTGTATAGGCTAACCCGCCTGTTAGCCACTTGGTATTTGTCTTAGCTATCAGATCGACTATCACATTACATGCTTGTGTTCAAGTAACCCTTATTTTACTTAATAATAGCTCCAAAGTGCAAGAGTAATGATGCTGACAATTTAGATATGTCAAAGAGAAGCTGTGATTGCTTCCTTTAAGTTAAAAGGTCTGTATGTATACGAAAAACATACATAGGGTTTGGTACTCTCTGTGGTT